TTCAGGCAAAGAGGAAGGACCTAAAGTAGAGAACCTGGCAGCCGAGAACATCTTGGACACTGTCCTGGGCTCTGCAGGCTGGGAAGGGAGGCCACACGGCAGGGGAGTCGGAGGAGGAACCCTCACTGCAGAGAAGCAAAGTGACAGGCCTGGGGAGGCAGGGGGAAGTCACGGGAGTGCTCGAACCTGGGGACCCACCAGCAAGCTCTCCTCATTTCCTCACTCTCCAGGAAAGGGGGAACTAGGAGGAGCACATGTCAATGTTTTCAGGCCCTCCAGGCCAGACTGCGTGATGAGAAGGCAGTGTGGCCGACCCCCTCCAGATGTAACTACTTCCTTCACTGCAGGACAGCATCCACAGCCATGCTACCACCCGGCACACCCACCGCACTTCAGATGGGGTTCAAGAGCAAGGTCTACAAGGTACACCTTTTCCCCTGGGTGGAGCAGAGTTCCCACGTCCTCTGCAGGCCCTGTCCTCCCAATTTCCTAGAAATTGGGAAGGAGAAAAGTTAACTCTTGGCCTCTTTTCCCACCGGTTTCCACTGCAGGTCAAAGGACTTTATGAAACATGAGTGAGGCTTTGAGCTTCCCCACAAATCTTATCAGCCTTCTCTGACAGCATCCAATATACAGCTGTCGCTTTTGAGATACAACTCCTGCTGCAGTAAAATTAATTCCAAAAGAGGAAAACAGGTTAGAGAATGAAACATTAACAATGGATTCATTGTAAAAGCTGAGCTTTCAACTGCATAAATTCCAACAGAAATACGGCCGAGACACACATGCAGCCATCTGCACGCAGCCTCTCATCAGCCCTCTCCAACGTGGGCAGGCCTGCCACCAGCTCCACAAACATGCAGAGGACACGGACATCGGGAACCAAATTCTTGGCATCGAACCACACCTGTAAACGTTTTGATTCCCTACAGGCTGCAAGCTGATTTAAAGTTCAGTGGATAGTACAGAGGGCACGTGCTCCTGTCTGTGGATGGAGGAGGTCACTAGGCCACCAAGAACTATGTACCCACCACCTTCATCGGGCCCCTCACCAACACTCCAGATGGAAAGCACACTTGTTTTTCCTTCTATGAGTCGTGCTCCCAGGCACAGTCTGCTAATGTCAGACTTGTCCATCTTTTACACACTCACAGTTTGCAGTGCTGTCAGTTCTCGTTTCTGTGGAACTGTGTAATCTATTTAAACAGAAATCTGACTCGGTTGCTTTGAT